AATGAAATCTGACATTGAGACATTGCTACAAGTATTTGGAACAATGCAATCTGACATAATAAATGAGGTCAATTGAGACAGGTTAGGTGGATTTCTAATTCTGGGGGAAAGGGTCTTACTTGCTTATATTATTTTTCATTTATGTTTTTGTTACATATTGTTGTTATAGCCCAGCTTGTGATGTTACTACCCTTCAAGGGCATTCCATTTATTGATGTCTCACCATAAACCAATCAAACCCTTAGAAAAGAAATACAAGGGTAAGTTCTCCATTTAAAGCAGTTATTGTACATGTACATGACAAACTTACATGCTGATTGTGGGTACTATATACTTCAAACACAAGACATTCACACACAAACTAAACGCTAACTGTGGATACATGCGCACACAAACCTACATGCTAACTGTGAGTACAATGAACCTTAAACATTAGTACATGTATGCGCATACAAACTTACATGCCAACTGTGAGTACAATGCGCCTCAAACACTAAGCTTGCGCACACATATTTACATGTCAACTGTGAGTACAATGAACTTCAAACATTAGCATGCACACACAAACTTACATGCCAACTGACGTGGGTATAATGAACCTAAAACATTAGCATGCACACACAAACTTACATGCCAACTGTGAGTACAATGAACTTCAAACATTAGCATGCACACACAAACTTACATGCCAACTGTGAGTACAATGAACTTCAAACATTAGCATGCACACACAAACTTACATGCCAACTGACGTGGGTATAATGAACCTCAAACATTAGCATGCACACACAAACTTACATGCCAGCTGTGGGTACAATGTACCTCAAACATTAGCATGCACACACAAACTTACATGCCAACTGACGTGGGTACAATGTACCTCAAACATTAGCATGCACACACAAACTTACATGCCAACTGACGTGGGTATAATGAACCTCAAACATTTGCATGCACACACAAACTTACATGCCAAGTGTGGGTACAATGTACCTCAAACATTAACATGCACACACAAACTTACATGCCAACTGACGTGGGTATAATGAACCTCAAACATTAGCATGCACACACAAACTTATATACCAACTGTGGGTACAATGCACCTCAAACATTAGCATGCACACACAAACGTACATGCCAACTGTGGGTACAATGTACCTCAAA